CCTTATTTTTTACCAAAAAAAAAATAATTTATTTTTCTGCAAACTATTTAGATGTCTAAAGTGGCGCTTAACCTCTAGAATTAGTAAAATAAAAGTCATAGATTGTTATGATTTATAGAGGCATATGCATTATATTCATTTCAGTACATGAATCTTGTTATGTCTATTAGAAAAAAAAAAACAAGCGTAGCAAACATTATTACAATACCTTTTAAAAACAATTAATAATTAGTAAGTATGATAAAAAGTAAATATCAGAAAATATTTGTTATTATCTATGATAAGCAAGATAAAAGTTCAATAATACGTTACTTACAATAGGTTGATATGTCACGAGATAATTCATCGATAAATAAAAAAAAACTACATCATATTAAAAATTTTGACACATTCTTTTGATTATCGTAAATCAAAGACTATGTAACAAAATACATAGAATAACAATAATCTTCTATGAATTTGATAGAGCGAAATTTTACTATTAATGAATTTTTTTTGAAACAGTAATTCAAATCGAGGTATGTTTACTATTCTTCTTCATACTCCAGGCTAGACAACGACAATAATCTTGCATCTAATAGAAACACGAGTTTAATAGCATAGAAAAAAAGAAAAATAACTTACGATAATGCATTTATTTCTAATTACTATTAATGTAGTTTAATCAATATTTAATCATTGATTATTCTTCAAGGTAGGAATATTTCAAGAAGCAGCTGACATAAACATACTATTTACGATAGAACTCAACCTAAGGCATTTTTTTTTTCAGTAATGAATAATCTTAATGTCAATGAGTTCTAATTTTAAGTCAATATGTGAATGTTTTCATAATAGTTATTCTATTTCGTCTTTAGTAGAATGTTTTTTTTCGTTACATAAGACTACATTCTAAAATACTGGATAGATTGTGATCATTTAATTACTTGTTGGTGCTCATTAGCTATTAGAACAAATATTATGCACTAATGTTTATTTTAGCATTATAGAAAACTTGATATTATAAAGCTCGCCCTCTGTGCCTTTACTATTATTCATTTCTGTGATGATTAATTTATGCAGCGATGACATACAACTTAGTTATACGTAATTGAATTCTTTCTCTCGAATTTTTCTTGCCTAGAAAGTGACATGTCGTATTTTGTTGATAAGAAATAGATTCGAACATTGATCTAGTGTTAGTAAATGAATGTAGTCATTTCTTTGAAAATTGACTGTTCTTCATTACACAAATAGAGCTACTGGTGGTTGTCTTCAATATTAAGTTTTGACTTCTTACTCATCACTGACATATTCTTAAAGTAGTCTTCTGATAGTGATAACGAGAAGTCATCAAAAAATTTTGCAATATCTTCCGTATTAAAAAGTATCATTTTTTATTGAACACAATTTTCTACATCAACAGATAACGAATGTAGTTCTGAGGTGGGAATAATGACTTCCAGGATAACTCATTGCTTTCTTAAGCACAGCATGGTTCACATAAAGCAGAACGATATCAACTAAATGTTTAGGTTTGTTAGCTGAATAGTTTCGAATGTGATTATATGAAATTTACAATCACACTTTTTAAATAAAATTCGTTCAATATAAGTATCGTCAACTGTGTATCATAAGTAAGAAGGAATAAATATTGTAGTGAATTTAGATGAGGTGTTAGCTGCGATATTCAAGCAAATATAGATTAATATAAACTTTAAAAAAAAATATTTTTCTATCATAATCACTGTTGTCTTATAGATCTCCTTACTTTCTCGTTAAACGAATGTATCTTTTTAGATCTCGATATTATTTCTCATTGAATAAATGCATTTCAAAATCACACGTTGACATCGTCAGGAGACTAATTTTTTTGTAGGAATGAATAATTTCTATTCTTTTATATAGATTGAATATTATATGCTAAGTAATGTTTGGTAAGATTCCTCTTTATCTTCAAAACAAATAGAAAATATCGGAAGTAAACAAACGAATATTAGAGAAAAAACAATTTTGCATTAGTAGAAACTCTTGTCGCTAACAAACGCTATGGAAAAACAAATGAGACTACCATTCATAATATAGATTCTAGGAACTTCGACATATATATATATATATATATGAGGATCTATGTTATGAAAAATACAGTACATTTCTATACACAGCAAGATACGAAGCAACATTTTTATCTAAAAAAAGTCACAAGGCTGAGAATAGATTTACGTGTGTTAGAACACTGACTGACGACTAAAAATAAGCAGTACGATATTCAGATAAAAAAAACAAATATAATGTCAATCTCAGCTAGAAGAAAAATTATGTTGTCCTTTTTTCTTTCTCCATCGTGACATGTACTCAGAAAAATGATGACTAACGATTAAATATTGATCAAAGTGCATCAATAGTGAGTAGACACAGATGCATTATCACAAGTTATTTTTCTGTTTACTATGCTATCAAACTAAATAATGTTTCTAATATATTCAAGATATATTTTGTTTTTTATTCTTCAATATATGAGAAAGAATATTAAGCATGCGTCAATTTGAACTATCATATTTCGAATAAATGCCATTGAAAAATGACATGCGTCTATATTTCGAACTAATTTAGATGATTACACACATAAATTTAGATTATATATCTTTGATGTTGGGAGAAGAACAAAAATTTTGGATCGATATATTTTTGTTACATAGTTTTTGATTCGTGATGATAAAAGAGACTTTTAGTATGGCGCCTATACTAAGAAAGTATCTGATTTAGGAATGAATCGTCTCTAAAATCTTTTCATGTCATCCATTGTAATATCTAACAATCAGCAACTTTCTATAATATCATGCAGTTAGTTAACAAACTGGAAAAGATTAGTGTGGAAATCGTCTCGTTTATGATAAAAAGAATCTCAGTTGAGTTTAAAATTTAAGATCTGAATATTTAAATTGTTACTTTGGTACTAAGTTCTGTCGATACAAATAACATTTTCAATGAGAATCGTAAAGAAAACTATAGAGAAAGATTCTATTATTATTCAAATAATCTCTTATAGCTTAGTATTTTGTAAAACAATTTAAAAAAGATTTAGACAAAAAATCTGAATAAATCAATATTTACTAATCATATGTGAAATAATCATAAGGAAAAAATAAATTATCACTTACACATCATTATTAGTTTATGTAATCTTTTTGTGTATATTACACGATTTCTTGAAGATAAATTTTGATATTGATTTAAACAATAATCTTCATATTGATTCTAATCGATAATTTAGTATAGAAAATATGAGATTTATTTGTATGTTTCATTTCATATATTTATTATCTTATGTTTATTTTATCGATTTGTTGTTTATCCTCATTTTCATCATCGATAAGATCATATGAATAGTTGTTTTTTTCTTTGTTATTCGTTCTTTCAGTCATTTGTCATTGACATATCCGATTTCTTTATAATTACATATTCTTAATGGTTATCTAGTGTATAGAAGAAGATCATTTTATCAGTCTTTTCTTTTGTTTTTATTTGTCTTATGACATATTCATTTAAATTTTTTATCGTTGGATTAGTTGGTGTCAATCGGTTCATTGAAAAATACAAGTGACAAAAAATATAGATTAGACATAAAGAAATTCATAATAATTTATTTATGAAATATTGTCAAGTGTTAAAAACTAATCTTGTCACCTAATCAATAGAATTTCTGTTGTTTACTGTTTTTGTCGAACGTACTATACTTATGTATGTAAAGGTATATAAATTTATTATGAAATCAATTAATTATTTTTTTTAATCTAATGTTTTATTATTTGAGTAAAATTGTTCTTTTCTTATATATATATATATATGATGATATGACAAAACATTTGTAAGACTTCTAATAATAGTTTTTGAAAAAAAAAACAAAATGCTACTACTATTTCTAATTGAAGAATGAATATAAAATGATATAGTAAATGTTATTGTAAAGAAGTACTATATATAGTATTTCGTAATTTAGTTTGCGCATTATTTATTTTAAACGTTAAATAAAATTTCTATCATTGCTAGAATACTAAATTGAAAGAAAAGTATTATTAAAACTTCATGATCTATGCTTTTTTTTATTTTTGACTAATTGTATTCGTATGATACATTCGATAATCATTTTGATTTACATTAGACAATTATTAATCAAAAACAAAAATTAAAATATTAGAAAAACTTAGATGTTAAAACATATTCTATTGATTTAGTATAACGGTTTAGAAGATATTAGTTTGATAGTAGATCAACATCTGAATGATAAATAAACAATAATAAAAATGTCTCGTTTAGGGTATTTTTTTTTTGATAGTAACTATCATATATTGACGACAAGAATATTGTCATATTGAGAAAAGAAAATTAAAGTTAATGAATTATTCTATCAGTTTGCATGTTTAAGTCTATGAATTATTATTATTCTTTTCTATATATTAACTGTTATGAAAAAATTTTGATAAAAGTTGTTTTTATACTGAAGTAAAATAATCTAAATCAACAGTAAAGTTCCAATGGATATAAAATATTATTTTCTTGCTTAACACTGTTACGACTATCTGAGATCCATATGGATCCAATTCAACTCCATCACACTATTATAAGTACACGATATTATATGAAAACCACTCGTCTTTCAGATGTGCTCTAGTGAACACTATGAGTGCAGTACATTCATAATATCAGTCAATCATATGCAATTGTTCTTTTGATGTAGAGCAATTCAAAGTCTATGTAAACATTGAGTAGTGATGCATGACTTCACATATATCTCGAAAATAGAGATGATAAGACTGTCAAAAAAAAAACAACAAAGAATCAATAAATATAGTTCAAACTAACTGCTTGTATGTTTATTTTTCTTGAAATCAAATCTTCTCGAGAGCCTTTATATGTTCATGATAGACTAGCGACTATTTCATGTATTATATTTATTTCATCAATTGAGGTTTTCACAAATCATAGATAAACAAAAAATGGTAGTCTTAAAAATGATTATGCTACGGTCGACATTTAAAAATATTGAATAATGCTTTTCGAAAAACATGTCCACCACATAATGTGTAAATATAAAATGGTATTCCACTTGCAATAAAAGTCAATAAAAGAACACAATTATAAGAAAAATTGTCTATAGCTTGATGGTATTGAGATTTATTTTCATAAATTGTTATTGTTGCATGTAATTTTTGTATGGCTTGTGGAAATATTAATAAAATTAAAAGAATAACTTCAACTAAAAGCATTTTTAGAAGAGAACGATTACGTTTTTTTTTCAATAATTGTTCGTTTCTTCTTATATTATGACGTATTTCATTATTCTCTACTCGTATACGTCGTTGTGTTTTATGTATATTTGAAATCGTCCATAAACCAAATATTAACATGAAAATAATTGGTAATAAGATAGTAATACATGCATATATGAGATCATTTAAATGACGACATAACTCTGTTCTTCCATAACATTTTAATGGTGTATTTAATAAATTTGCTTTATAACAATAAAACATTTCAATATGAATAAGACAAGAAATAAGTACAACAATGAATGTAATTCGTTGAGAATTTTTTAATTTACTCAACTGTCGAAAATGAACATTAACAGATGATAAAAGCCAACGATCAATTGTTGCAAACATAATTAACCAAAAAGCAATTGTTCGAGAACAAAATACAACAAAAACTCGAAGTTTACATAGCCAATCAATTGTTTCTGTTAGATCTTTATTCCAACCAGATAATAAACGTGTACTAAGACCAAAAATAATTGAAATAAGATTGACAATAGATGAGATTAGAAAATACCAAATACATGGATTTGAACGAAGATTTCGTTGTGATAAAACTAATATATTAAGAACATTTCCAATAGAACCAAATAGTAGAATAAATATTGCACAATATCGATTAATTTGAAGAATTAAATTATTTAATAATGCAACAGAATTGCTCTCTGATGAAGACATATCTAATACGGTATTGATAATATGATAATAAAAAACTGACTTTTATATATACATGTTTTTTTTTTCTTGCAAAACATCGACTTTGCACATTATTAAATTGATGAGAAAATGAATTTAATTAAGCTTACTGCCTTTATATAAAACATGAGAAATATATATCTTTTGAGTTAGTTTTTTTTTCCTCATTTTAATTTGCTACAAAACATTTATTTAATGTTAATAATCTACTATTTCTAGATATGCCTAAGAAGCATAATTTTTCTTCGTTTCCTTTAATTCCTGTTATTAATAATATTTCAATTAGTAATACTTTTACACAATCAAAAAAAAAATGAATTTTTCTAAATTGAGAGCAAGTTATAAATGTCTTTTCCTAAGCTGTATATAAATCACAGATAATTATCTAGATTGACTTCAAACAAATATTTGTTATAAAATCTGTCTCGAACTAAAAATAGAAAAAGAAAACTTTTTTTCTACCTATATTTAAAATTCAAATAATACAGTAAGAAAATTAATTAAAGAAATATTTAGATAATAAATTTGTTTTTTATTATAGGTTATTCAAAGATTTTCGTTGTATCTATGGTTTTATTTTGTACATGTAAACCATACTAACGGAATTATCATTACATAGTGTATGCAAAAAATTCATTCTTTTTTTTTTTTTGTCAATTATTAAAGTTTAAAATAATACGACCCATGTCTTAAAATCAGCATACTTTGAAATTCATTGTTTTTAGTAATAAAAAAAAAAAAAAAAAAAAATAAATGTACTCAAAGATCTATTAGATATAAAGTAGAACATTGTGCAAAATGTGAACTATGTTGCTCATGCAAAAGTAATTGCATTATGCATACATGAAATGATCTTACCAATTCAATAATAAAATGTATGTTGTTTTGAACTCAAAAATATTTCTTTAGTTTTATATGTAAGTAGCATAGATGCATAGCTTTGAGTAAACTTGTGTCATTGACACCACGAATTCGACTCAATCAAATTTCCTTAAAAATTCTTCTTTAATAAAAGAAAACAAGTTTGAAGAAAAAATTCATTGTGCTATATGTTCATGCATCCTATTATTTAAAAGTTAGGCTATCTTTTCAACGTTATACATTAACACTGAAAGACAACGAAAATTTCATCATAATGTCTAACACCTAAAATATATGATAATCTCCGTTATTAAACATATATATTTATGAATGTTTAAAAAACTTTGTTTGAAAACAAGATTACATATTATTTCAATAATTATGTCAATTAGAAAGCAAAAAATAGAACAGAGTTTGAAGAAATACAAAAATTTAATTAACAAGCAAACATTCTCAGGTATCCGTATAATTTTTGAGCTGCTATTATTTTACCATAAGTAGGCTTCCCATACATATGAAAATAATAGCAAATGCTTTTTAGTCATTATTAGAAGGTAGGAATTTATAAATTATTTTTTTGAGAGTGAAATCAATGATTACTAGATTATTCTAAGTTTTAGAACGTTTTTTCCTATAGCATCAATTCTATTAGAACATAAACTGTTTGTCTTCATGATTTTTATATACAATCGAATGTATACTATTGATAAATACTTTTATGCCATGAGAAAATCAGATTTATCATTTGAGAACTTCTTGAAGTTATAAAGTTCGAAAGTCTAATGTAATCTAGTTATGATTAAGTTCACTCTCAAAAACACTTATAGCCGCTAACGAACGCCTATGCACACAAACGCTTCAGAAATTTTTCATAGTTCACTATGGTCTACTTATAAGTAAAATATCAGTTCGCAAGAACGCAGACATCTGTGAATGTTTCCTCTTAACCCTTTGAGTTCCGACTTTTTTTTTACCGAATTTAAATTTGATAAAACATGTTATTAAATAGCTAGATGATACTGTGAAACCTGTGGTTAAGTTACAATTAATTAAATTCACTTTTTGGCATATTTCTGAGGGGGACCAGGGACCAAAATGTGATGAAAAATGAAAGTCGCAAAAACGATATGAAACATGTATAGATCGACGCAATTTTGTGTGCTGATTCAGAATATGATAATTGTTTGAAGTCAAATCAACTTTATTCTCATCGAACAGTGTCAAATACTAGTCAAAAAGAGCAAAAATGAATGTTGAGGATAGGAGTTCGACAGAAAGTGATTCACTAGACATTGAATTTCAAGTTGAAAATAGTTTCATTTGAGAGAATATTTCAAATTGCGT